GGTCCGATAGCTCACTAACTTGGACCTAGAATGAAGAGCCATCAGATTTTTCAATCATCTTTGTTCTTTTGGTTCTTGCCATAGTGTCCTGCATAGATACAAAGACAGTTGGATTCCGGGACTTGCGCAAAGATTGAAGTACCGCAGGGCAGTCGGCACCCCTAGTCCTAGACTCAGCCGTCCCCGGTGACCGGCTGATTGCTAACCTAGGTCGTGCCGGATGCTTTTGAGGTCTCATTTTAACAAAAAAAGGCAAAAAGGATAAAGGAAAAACGGTTACCTGAAACTTAAGTTCTGAGAAGAAGCTTGGTCAAACAGGCGTCTAGTAAAAGCAGGCGGTTGATGAAATCAGTCGTCCAGTAAATCAGAGCTCAAGTTCAAGGGTCGAGAGTTCTCTTGCAAAGTTCGCAAAATGTGAACAAAAGACTTGGTCAACATGCCCTTATATAGGGTAAAAGGAGAATACGAAGGGTCACTTCCAAATTCAAAAAAATGGGCGGGAAAAAAAACTCTCGGCCAATTACAGGACGACACCTGTAGCAGGCCGTCGCCTGTTACAGGCCGACACCTGTCACGGGTGACATGCGACCAGTCACGTGCCACCTGTGAGGGGCAATTGATTAGGGGATTTTCCCCGTCCAATCAACGTCTGATACGTGGACCTATCACGCCCTGCCATGTGTCCGTCGCATGGACCACTTAGAGCCTGTCACGAGTCAAGCAGTAATTGGTCCACCTTGGACCAATCACGTCACGCCACGTGGCCTGCTGAGTGCCCACCAAGAGAACGGCTAACAAGGCCCGATTTCCAAGAAAGGCCCAATCAGCCCTAGGTTGACCTAAACCTAATACTAGGCACGCATCCCGAGGCTATAAATACAGTAATTAAGCCTCCATTTACGACGATTAGAATTAATTACTCTCACCTAAGAGAAGTCAAAACACACGTGCTTTCTGATTGCTAGACCTGACTTAGCAATTAATTGCCCTTCCTAATCACTCCTCCCCTAGAGGAACCAGATCACCCTTTACATTCCGCACCTTTTTACTCCTCATACAAGTACTAACTTGATCGTCGGAGGCGGACCTCCCACCACCCGGAGTCTCCGTTGTTTTGCAGGTACAGGCGCACGGATCTAGTCCCGGAATTGTAACTCTCCCGCAGAACATCAAAAACCCCCGAAACAACTTCAATAAAAATAAATCAAATTGAAATTAAATTAAATAAAAGTAAAGTTGATTTGGTACAAACCCTCAGTCGGTTATACCTTTCACGCCTTGGTTTAAGTATAGAACTTCGGGTGTTGTATGGACTCCAGGGAGTGCTTAGGGAAGGAATAATTAAATAATAATAACTAGGAGAACAAGTTTAAAACTTAGAATATGAGAGAGATAGAGAGAGAAGAGAATGTGTGTTGGTGCATAAGAGAGAAGAGAGAATTATTTGGTGCCCCGAAACTGAGAAATCAGCTTCGTATTTATAGAGAAAATATGAGGGGTGAGGTACGAAACCCTAGAATTGAAGCACCGCAAAGAAATAAGCCCTAGAAATTGTCGTGAGACGGCAAAAATTGCCGAGACACGGCAATATCTGCCGTGTCACGGTATTTTTGCCGTGGCCCGGTAATTTCTAGTTTTTACGCATTTTTAAAACTTCGATACCTTTTGACCCATAACTCGGATTAAGGAATATAATATATCCTTGGAAAGATATTCAAATCTACTATCTAACCCAATTATAATCAGGTCAAAATATTTTGTAGATTTTAAGATATGACCGTTTTAGTGAAAGGGTGTCGGTTTGGGCCGAGTTTTAGTGTTTTGCTCATATCTTCTTCGTTTTTAATCGGAATTGGGCTTATGATATACCATTGGAAAACTTATTTCAAGGCCTATCCAAAAAAATAATATTTGGGTCAAAATTATAAGGCCACAAAATCAGTTTAGCTCAGTTTTGTGATGTTGACACGAAAAGAGGAAAATATGGATTAAATGGGCTAAAAATTAGGTTGGTTTATGAAATGTATTGGGTTGAATATGGATTTCAGCACTCCAAAGATTAAATACTCAACCCAACCAATTATGGCGGTGAAAGGTTGTTCATCATGGGGTTTGGTTTTGGGGAGACATTTTTAGGTGTCTACAACTGTCTAACCCCCAATTGCAAGCAAGCAAAGTCTTCAAGGCGAAGTACAGGGATGATTGGTTGGATAAAGGTAGGAAAGGGGATCTCAAATCATTGATGTCGTGGGGAGCTCGGAGCATTTTCAAGAGCATTTATCGCATGAGGGGTGGCCTCAAAAAAGTCATTCCCAATGGGAATTCAACAAGGATTGAAGATGACTAGTGGGTTACTAAGAACATCATCAAATGTAGGGATGGTGAGACAGTTAGCAGTGAAAGCAAGCCAAAAACTTGTAAGCAACTTACTGATCCCCAAGGGAATTGGCAAACAGGCAGGCCTAGTATGGTAGTGGTTTAAACCGCCTATAGCTAGAGATATTCTTGCCCTCAACCCAGCAAAGTACATTACGGAAGATAGTTGGGATTGGGGGCCATCCGATTATGGGAATTTCACCATCAAATCTGGGTACTGGTTTGCTCTAAAGGAAAATAGCAGCTTGGAACCTTCCTCGACCTTCTGGAAAAAATGGTGGACATTGAAAAATTTGGCCAAAACACAAAGTTTTTATTTGGAAAATCGTTAATAATGTTCTCCCTAATGAAAATAATCTAATGAAAAGGGGTATTAACGTTTGTAATGTATGCAAATTATGCCACCTAGAAGATGAATCGCAAGAGCACATTTTTAGAGATTGCGAAATTTCTAGAAGAGTATGGAAATGCAGCATCCTGGGTATTAATTCTTACAACGACAAAGAGCTCAAAATAGGGGTATGGATCCAAAACTTCATCTCATACTTCCTTGCTCTGAACAACAATAAAGAAGAAAGTATAATGGACTTTGTGAGTGTTTTGTGGAGCATTTGGCTCACAAGAAATAAAGCTACTTTCAACAACGAACACTGTAATCCACTTAACATAATCTACTTTTCCCAACATTGGAAGAACAGATGGATCATTGGAAACCTTCAAACAACGTTAACGACCCCAAAAAACGCAGATTCTCCTGATGATGATAGTGATATGTGTGTTTTATATGCTATTTTATCCCCCGTCCCACGGTCATTTTTATGCATATTTGAGCTTTTCGAGGCTATTTTTAGTACTAATGCGTGGTTTAGTGTTTTGTAGAGTTGGAATCTATTTTGTAGGAATCTCCTCGATTGTTGGTGATTTCTATGGTTTTTCGGCCACTATGAGATATCGGAGCTTATGATCACATTCATGACCATCTTTTGTAGCCCTAGACCGAGGATTTGGATGATTAAAGGCTTGGTTCGTGGTATTGTCCAAGTAATGGACCAAGGAAGAAGAAATTGGGGCCACAAGTAATTGAAGCCCTAAGGAAAAGAAAAGAAAAACTCGGCCAAGAAAAAGACCGGGCCTGATCGGCGGCCTATGGCCCGATCGGGCAGATGCTTATCGAGGCTGAGAGAAGAAAAAAGGCGGGCCCGATTGGGCGGCCCTTTGCCTTGTCGGGCGCGAAGTTTTTCCGTAGTGTTTAGGATTTGCGTTTTGAGTTTATTTAGGGGTTTAGTATTTAAACTCTTCTGTAAGATTTATTAGCCACGTTTTTATATTACAATTTTCATTCTTAAGTTTTTAGAGAGATTTTAGTGAGAGATTATTGTTGAACTCAAGTTTTACCCTTTAGTGCAATTTCATATTTCCTTCATTCAGTAATATTTCTCGTCTCTTTTATTAATTTATTTATCGCTTAATTTTTAATTACTTTGTTTTATTTGTGCTTTGATTTCAATCATATTTTCTTTATATACTTTGATTAGTTTAGATTTAAATATGTGTGAGTAGTTTCTAGGGTTCTTGGGGGATCCATAATTATTATGAAGGGATGAATTGTTTTGGTTGATTGATTATTGATATTGCATAATAATTTCTTATTGAATTGTTTTAATTCCTTACAATTAGATTGTGAATCGAGCAGATGTGATTTGATATTAAAAGTATAGCAACATTAAATTGATGAATCGAGCATATGGTAATTTAATATTAAAGGCTATTTTCAATAGGAACTTAGATCTAATAAATTGCGAGTGCCTGTTAGATCTATGTTGATTAATAAATTGCGAGAGCATGTTAATCATGTTATGTTTGCAATATTAATCATTGATTGTTATGTTTTTATCCCTGAGTATTAATTATCGGTGAACCTACGACCCTAGGCTTTTTACTATTGATTTATTTCTTAGTTTAATTCATACAACCCTTATTTGTTTCTTGATAATTTAGATTATAATAATTAATTAGGAATAGAAAAACGTTGTTTCCCTGTCAGTAAAAGTATTTTGAATTAGGTCATCTTTATTTAAAATGGTTGGATTAACTTGTTGGGAAATTGAGAGCACTTAAGAGCCAACAAATTGGCCCCAAAGGAAGAAGTTAAGTGGAGGTAAGATTTAGTAATGACAGTCTAGTAATTATGAGTTTTTGTTTTAAAAGGGGAGTATAAATACTTTAAAACATCAAGGTTTTTCACTTTAAAATCATAATTGTCAGATTTCACAAAAACCTCAAAAGTTTTTTCTTTATTTTCTCTCTCCTTTTTTCTCTCTTTTTTTTTTTTTTTTTGGTAAGTAAGTGATTTTATTATCAAAGGGAAAAAAAAGTTACAACTTACAAGTAGGAAGAAAGCTGTAACTCTCCAAAACAACAAAGCCTATACAAAGGCAAACAACCTCTTAACATTCCCTAATCCTCAAGGAACCACCTTCAAGGAAGGGCATTCTAAGACAAGAAAAGGGATCAACTATGGCTAGTGTTGTGGCACCTTCTATTAAGGGTACACACCACTAGACATAGTAAACAGACAAACAAGCAAGCTAAATGACAACACACAATACAACCAAATACAACAGCTATCTACAACTAGTACTTTGTAGACTATGAAGCCACTTGCAGTGCTGCCTCCTCCATCTGCAATTAATCATCTGCTTGCATCTCTGTATAACTTCTGTACATATCACCTTGCAAACTACTCTAGGGTGTATGACAACCTTCAACCAAAGGGCCTTATTCCTTACATACCAAATTTGGTAAACCATAGCAGCCAATGCAGCAAGACAAATTTTCCTCTTAATAGAGTCCTTCACTTCCTTACCCCACTGTTTCCAAGACCTATCTATACTGAAATCAGTTTCAGGAATTCCAAGCCATTCACTAATGCCTGAAAGACACTTCCTGCTGTAATCACAATCAAAGAAAAGATGTTCCCTACTTTCAACAGCATTACCACAGAGAAGACAGACATTATCCTGGCATACACCCCAATCTACTAGCAAGCTTCTTGTTCTCAGTCTGTCCTGCAAATCCATCCATAGAATGAAGCCTTGCTTTGGGATATTGAACCTATTCCACACCCAGGGATACCAAGAAACATCTTGATGAGGACCTTGAATCCATTTATAGACCTTGGATATGCTATAAACATTACCCAGCCAGCCTGCACTATTGAAACCCTCCTTCAGTCTATCCTTAACCTGACACAGTTTCTTCCAAGCCCAGCCTGCATTCTTTTGGCTTGTACTCCCACCAATCATTGTCCTTAATGTAGACAGCATGAACCCACCGCACCCACATTGAATCCTCCTTCTGAGCAATCTTCCACACATATTTACCCAAAGCTGCTATATTCCAGGTTGCACAATCCTCATACCCAAACCACCTGCCTTCTTGGGTTTACAAATCCAGTCCCAAGAAATAGGGGGGGATTTCCTAAGAACAGCATCTCTTCCCCATAAGAAAGCTCTGCAAAGTTGTGTGATTCTTTTGATTACACCAGCTGGGAGCAGGACACACTAGGCCCAATAAGTATGCAGACTAAGTAACAATGAATTAACCAGAACACTCCTGGCTGCATAGGATAGGTTTCTGCTAAACCAACATGTAATTTTAGCAAGCATCTTATCCACTAAGCTATCATAATCACTATTAGCCAAACTCCTCACATTGAGGGGTATTCCAAGATACCTAAATGGTGTACACCCTTCAACAAACCCAGAACCTCTCAAGATGTCCTGCTTCACAAGTCTGGGAACATTCCCAAAATAGATAGTTGTCTTCTCAACACTGACCTGCAATCCAGAACATCTCTCAAAAGTTTTCAGAGCCCTCAAAAGTAAGTTTACAGAATTTCAGTCACCATAGTTGAACAACATGAGATCATCAGCAAAAGTAAGGTGATTAAGATGACTATTTTTACACCTTGAGTGGAATTTGAAGCCCCTCATATCACCTACTTTCCTCAAAAGCCTTGAGAGATACTCCATGACTATGACAAAAAGTAGAGGTGACATGGGGTCACCCTGTCTTATCCCTTTTTTTTCCTTTAAAGAAACCATTCAATCCCCCATTCACCATAATAGAGAAGGAGGGAGAAGTGATACAGCTCATAATCCAGTTCACAAACACAGTAGGGAACCCCAAAGCAACCAGCATGTCTTGAATGAAATCCCAACTTATTTAATCATAGGCCTTTCTGAGGTCCACCTTCACAGTACATTTAGGAGCCTTTTGCTTATCTCTGTAATTCTTCATAGAATCTTGGAAAATAAGTACATTATCCAGAATAGACCTCCCTGCCACAAAGGCACTCTGCACCTCACTGATCAACCCAGGAAGCACCTCTTTGAGTCTAGTGCAAACCATCTTAGAAATGATTTTATAAAGTACATTACAGCAAGCTATGGGCCTAAACTAACTCACTTTTGAAGCATTTTCAACTATAGGAACCATAGTCAGGACAATTGCATTAATCTGGCTTAACAACTTTCCTTGACTGAAAAAGTTCAGCACTGCATTGATGATATCAGTCCCTATAATATGCCATGAGACCTTGAAAAACTTACTAGAAAACCCATCAGGGCCTGGGGCTTTATTTTCATCAATGCTCCAAAGAGCATTCTTAACATCAATAGAAGTAAAGGGTCTACAGATGGAAATACCTTGCTCCTCACTAAGAATCTCACCCATGCTCACCATATTCTGATGTATCTTCCTCTCCATTCTGTTAGCTGAGCCCAACAGGTGTTTGTAGAAGCTAATAAAAGCCTTAGAAATCTCTTCTGCCTTTTGAGTCAATTGTCCATCTTCTCTCTGAATACTGTAAACACTATTTTGCATTCTCCTTTTCCTCAAACAAGCATGGAAGAAGCTAGAGTTGACATCACCATCTTTCAACCAATGCACCTTTGCTTTCTGCCTTAGAAACTGCAACTTTCTAGCATAAGCTGCAGCATATCTGTTTCTAATCTCATGTTCTTGATCAATTAAGCTCTCATCTGCAGGGTCATTGTTTAACTTGACTTGCATCTTCAACAAATCCTCCTCCAAACAAGCATCATCATTCAAAACAGAAGAGAAATGTTGTCTGTTAAAGCTTTTCAAAGCCTCTTTTACCAAATTGAGTTTCTTTACAACAATGAACATAGGGGTGCCTTAAATGGAGCAATTCCAACTGTCTTCAATAGTTTTCAAGAAACTTGGATAATCATACCACACATTGAAGAATTTAAAAGGTTTCTTAGTATTTCCCACATTCCCCATCACATTAATCACACAGGGGCAGTGATCCATGAGACCTTCAGGAAGGAAAGCTGCATTCCCAAATACTCTGTCTATTCTTGAACATACTCTTCCAGCACCACCCTGCTTATTATTCCATGTGTAAAACAACCCATCAGTTTTGACTTCACTCAAATTTGAATGCCTAACACATTTCCTAAAATTCTCAATTTCAGTCAAAGTAACAGGAGCCCCTATTCTATCCTCAGGGTTCAAAGCATTATTGAAATCTCCACACACCACCCAGGGATCAGTCAAAGAACTTCCAAACTCATATACTTGCTTCCAAAGAGCCTCTCTACCAATATGGCTATTGACTCCATACACCATAGAGCAAGAAAAAGAAGTGTTAGAGCTTAAATGCATAATTTTCACATTAATCACCTGCATCTCTACACTAATCACATTAACACAAAATAGGTCAGGCTTCCAAATCAACCAGATTCTACCATGCCCACCCTTCCCATAGTTAGCAACCATGGACCAGTCATCAGAAAAGTTAGTGAAGACCCTCTTAAACTTAACAATCTTCACCTTTGTTTCCAGGAGCCCAAACAACCCTATATCATGTATTCTAAGAAAGTTAAGCACATCACTAATTCTATCAGGTTGATTTAGGCCCCTTATATTCCAGAAACCCCACTTATTCATGAGAGATATAGGAGCACTCTCCATTCCCCTCACCTCCATACAAACCCTTATCATTAGCCATAACCTCATTACCCCTTTCAGATTCACCTACTAGGTCTTCAACCAGCATATCAAACCTATTCCTGATTTCAATACCAAAACCTTCATCCCGTTCCTCCCTAGGTTGTTGTGGCTTCCTACTATATTGACTCCTCCTAGCCTGATTCTTGCTGATATGCACTTTATTTATGCCCTCAACAGACTGCTCTCCAAGTGTCTGCACATTATAGACTTGATCAACTTGCCTGCTTGATTACACAGGCCAATTCACAGGCTGTTTTCCAGAACTCTTCATAGGCTGCTGCACTTGATTCAGCTTCTTCTGGACAGGTCTCCAAACTTTCTATGGTTTTTGAAATATGCTCCTCTGAACCCTTTCATTGCCCATTTTCAATTTAGGACACTACTTAGCCTCATGTCCCACACCAGAATAGTTTGCACAGGTGATTGGCTTCCATTCATACACAACTTTCTGATTCACGGTAACTCCATTTTCATCAAGAAAGGAAATAGAGTCTGGAAGGCTTTCATCAATCTTCACCTCAATCAACACCCGAGCATACTCTATTAGGTCCTTCATAGATGTAGCTCTATCCATTTTAACAGCTTTCCCTAGCAAGCTACTAATCTTCATGAGGGAATTATGACCCCAAAATCTTAGGTTAAGTCCTGGGAACCGCACCCAAATTGGGACACAATCCAATTTTTCCTCCACCAAATTAATACTAGGACTCCATCTCTTCACAACTACTGGTTTCTTATCAAAAGCAATAGGTCCAGCTTCAATGGCTTTCTCCCTACCATCCAAATTCTTGAAGTGAACAATAAACACCCCATTTGCCATTGAACACACTTTATCTACTCCAAACTTCCCCCAAACTCGCTTAATAAACCCTTGAAACATAGACCAAGGAGGTTTTGAACAGACAACATAGCAAACAATAGACGAGCTCCAAAAATCAATTTCACTAGAGACATCCTCCTTAGAAATTTGAACCAACTTTGCCTTATCAACAACAGGCTCATTCACTTGATTATCAAAAAACTTCCCATCATCAGCAACATTCTTGAATTTATCCTTCCAGGACGAGCCTAATTCAGCCATACTCCCACCAGACCCAGAAATACAATTCTGAAAAACAGAGCAAGCAGGGGTGGGGGGATTTACAAATTGATTAGACCCAGAATCAAGATTCATATTAGAATTACCAAGCATCAAAATAGGGGTAGGATTCAAGATATCATCATCAAAATCATCAAGATCATCACAGTCATCAGAAACCCCATTATCCCAAAAATTCTCAAAATTGATAACAGACCCAGAAACAGAGTTTTCCGCTAAAACAGGGGAAGAAATTACCTGCAACCACTGATTAAGCTCAAATCTATGCTGAGCTTTAATGTCCTCAGGAACTTCCTTGACAGGAATCTCATCCATGCCATCCAGCCAGCTAACATTAGAACCCACTTCCTTCTCCTCATAGTCTTCCGCCATTTTCTTGCACGACCGAAGTTTGTAGCGTTGCTTCCTTTTGGACTTTGAAGAAGATTTCGAGCCTGAATTCTTCTTTGCTTTCACTTTTTTGTGGTTGGCCATGAAAATCAGTGCAATAAAATCATCAAAAATGGCGGTAGTCAAGAGATTCCAAAGAGAGAAATTCTCTCTTTTTTCTCTCTCTTTCCCACGCCTCTCTCTCTCTCCTCTTCCCCTCACGACCGGCAGCCACCGGCGCCACCACCGACCACTGGCGACCATCGCCCTCCTTATTCTCTCTCTCCTCTTTGCGGTTTGGTACAAAAGAAGAAAAAAAACTCTCTTTCTCTCCTTATTTAATTATATTGTTTTGTTATTTTTAAAGCATTATTTTGATTATGTTTAGGTATTGATTTTGATTATTTGATGTTGTTAAATTATTCCTATAATTTTTTGATTTTAATTCAATCAAAAACCCCAATTTATAAACCCTATAATTTGGGAATTTAATGTATATGGTTAGGGTTTGATCCTAGGTTGTTGTTGTAGTTTAATTTATGGTTTAAACATGTTTTTAATGAGTTTAAAACCCTCAAACTAATGCTGGAAATTATTTATGCACACTACCTTTTAATTATTGAGTCAGGGTTTGATTACCCATAAAAGGGAAAAAGGTTTTAATGATTTAAATATGATTTCCTAGTCTATTAGTGATGTTTTATATTAAATAAGTATGCCAGAATTTTATTTAAGTCATAAAAACTAAGTCTTTTTGAAAGGATTTAAATTACCCACTTAAAGAAAAGGTTTTATGGCTTTTATGTCATTAAATTGGGTTGATTGGTAAAGTTTAAAGAGTATTATAGTTGCTGGAAATTTGTGAGAATAGTGGATTAATTATAGTTATGTATTCTTATTTGTAGGGAGCTTTAAGCTAGGTGATTTCTAGCGAGTATGACCGAGTTTAGGCATTATTTAAGGTACGTATGTGCACAAGAATATTTGTTTATGCGTAGTATCATGCTAGGATTGTAAAGTATGATCTAAGTAATGTATTAGTAACATGTTTGGTTGATTATATACTTGGAATTGATGTTGGTTGAGCATGAATTATTATGCAAGCATGTGAATATGTTATTTGAGGCATGATACAAGTTAAATATGTATGAATCATGGTATTATGTTTTATTTTCAAGTATCAAGGAGGCATGCATTTAATAAGTAAGGCTTATATATGTTTAAAAGAGCTAAAGTTAGAATTATTAAGCATGATTCTTGAATTTATTTCTCACCCATTTATTATTGGTGTTGAGTCAAGAAGTTAGTTTATTTATTTACTCACTCATGTAAGTTGAGTTTGAGTCAAGTAAGTTTATTAGTGCATTTTATGCACCAAGGTAGTAATCGTGCAATTTTGTGCACAAAACTAGGCAAGGAACCTTAATTAAAATAGATAGTATGAGCTCACTAATTAATTCAAATTTGAAAGTATATGTTGATTGTTATTATGTTTGTTCTTGATTGATTGGTTGGAGTCATCACAACTTAAATTGGTAAATCACGTAAAGTGTAAGAGGATACGCACCAAAACTCTTGGAACGTATATAACTTGAGTATGAACATATGGGGGAAATTACGGGGTTTTATATTTAACCATAGCTTCTACAGGGTACAGGACGCTGTACTTTCTTTTATTATTAATGCGCTGGAATTTCGTTACAAGTGTGACATAGTAGGTGCCAATTGGGGTAGCTCCCTAATTGGAAGCTCCATGTTTATTGGGCTATTTTTAAAGGAAGGAAACCCGTTCGATGCGTAATCCAAATTTATTATTTAATAATTAATACTGCTAATTATGAGTCAAAGGTAAGTTGACTTGTGATTGTATGACGAGCATGTTTTAATTATTTTTATTGATGCTAGGATATTCATGTTAGTGTGGTGCATAAGTACTCAACTTTTGCTGATTCGTACTTTTGTGTTTGTGTTTGGCTTTCCTTTGGATTGACCCTACTATGACCCATTTATATGGTGAGTAGAGGATTGAAATAAAGGGAAAGTAACAAGTACTTAAGGCATGAAGAGCATGAAGGGAATGAGTTCAGATAGTTACTTGTTATGTTTCTTAGTTTTATGTTTGAGTTGTTGGTTATTGTTTATGGACTAACATTATTATGTTTATAAAAAATTGGTTTTTAAGAAGGGCCATATTTGAATTGGTTCCAACTTGTGAACGTTTTAATTCTTTTTTTGTTTTGAGGTTGTGAACTCAAGTTTTATTTTAAAAGTTAATTTATGTTTTAGACTTCCGCTGTGAGACTTTGAAAATTAGCCTTAACCGTTATCACAGTGGCGGTAATATTTTGATTATATCCTAAAAAAGGGTTTTATTTAGAGTGAAATGAGTATTTTAAAAGAAGGAAATTTTCAGGGTATTACAAAGGTGTAGTGATTGACAGAGGAAAAGCACCTGTATTCGCCTCTACCCTGACCCAAACCGAGGCCATGGCTGCTCTTATGGCTATAAAAAGTTCAAACCTTACAGGGAGGAATGTCACTATGCTCACAGATTCAAGCGATTTGGTGAAGGCTTTTACTAACAACAGCAATGCAAAAAGGGAAATTAAGTTGTTAGTGCTTGATATTAAACAAGATGTTAAAAGGTTTGATAATTTTGTAATCGTAAAAGTCATAGACTTTATGTAAAAGAAGCCCATAAACTAGTTGTAGCAGCTATAAAGGGTATGTAGTCGGTTTTGTTTTCTCGATTGTCAAAAAATTAAAAAAAAAATAAATAAATAAAAAATTAAAAAAAAAACGGTTGGGGAGGGGGGGGGGGATAATTACAATTTCATAAGGATTTTCTCAACCATTGTTTTTGAGATATAATTTGCACAATTTATATTATAATAAATGTTCGACCTTCTGGTATAGGGGATTTCAAATATGGACAATAATTATAGAGCATATTTTTCAAAACAGAAGTAGATTATAAATTTTGGGAAGTATGTATAAATATATCTGACTAGGAATTGGTGCTAATAATGTGCTAAAAATATTTTACTAATAGAGATATTGGAGAGTGAAGAGGTAAAAAAGTAGTGTAAAAGTGCTCCGGTTATATTTTGCTTGTGTAATTTACACTTGGCTTTGTATATATAGCCATGAGTAATGCTAAGAATACAATAATTACTCATATATAGTCATATGAGTTCACTACTCTTTAGACCTATTTGAGCATTGTATAATCAAATCAACTAGTTTTTAGGCTCGAACGATGCCCCAAATTACTGTATTATTTATATGATAAAAATCTTTATTAAATCTTATGTAATATGATAATAGTTAAGTGGCTAACACCATAAAATTGGCATTTATCTTATTAAACTTATCTTCTAACATCTTGCTAATTCATTTTTTTACCATAATAATAATTCGACATGAAGGTAGATTATTTACTTTACTAATGTAATGCGGAAAAAACAAAAGAATAAAAGTGAAAAACGACGGACGGTGTTGATAAGGCATATCTGGAGCAAAAGGGGAGCATCAGAGTCGTCTCCTAAATCCTAATTTCTCCAGCGTCCGATCTTCTCTTTCAACTACTCTCTCTCTTCATCGCCTTCAACGCCGATCCATCTTACGCTTCGCCTTTATTTACGCACTTCTCCAATTCATCGGTAAGTTCCTTCCTTCCTTCCCTTTTTATTCTTCTTTCTTATTCTTCTTCTTTAACTATTTCCCCTCACTCTTTCTCTCTCCTCTTTCTCTCTCATCATCTCTCTCTTTCGCGCTTCTATTCATGGCGGTCAATTTCAATTTTGGATTTGGGGTTTTTGAATTGACGTTTGGTTTTTTAGGGTTTAGTATTTCAAATTTATGGCGGATGCACCGACAAGTCCAGGCGGTGGAAGCCATGAAAGCGGTGACCAAAGCCCGCGTTCCAATGTTCGGGAGCAGGACAGGTATCTTCCTATTGCTAATATTAGTCGGATTATGAAGAGAGCTTTGCCTGCTAATGGCAAAATTGCTAAGGATGCTAAAGAGACTGTTCAGGAATGTGTTTCTGAGTTCATCAGCTTCATTACTAGCGAGTATGTTTGTCAATTTTGGTTTTGTGTTCGATTCGTTTCTAGATTATCGGGTTTGTGTTGTTTGACTTGTTGGTGGTGTTGGTGTAATTTTATATTTTTGTGATTGATTGTTTAGGGCTAGTGATAAGTGTCAAAGGGAAAAGAGAAAGACCATTAATGGGGATGATTTGCTTTGGGCTATGGCAACTCTAGGGTTTGAAGAATATATTGATCCTCTTAAGGTCTACTTGACTCGTTACCGGGAGGTATAATCATCGTAATTATTCATTGGAAGAGCTGGCTTTTATTTGAAATTTTGAATATTGGATGATTAACTAAGTGTTTAATTATGTGTCTTGGCCTGGGTCGTCTTTGGATTGTTGGTATCTATTGCAGATGGAGGTGCGTATCTCTGTGCTAAGTTCCTTCGTGATTATTTGTAGTCGATGCTGATTTTGATACAAATGGCGGGTTTGTGATATGCTAATTGATTTTGCTTACTTTGAGTTTGGTGGTTGTGAATTTTGATAGGGCGATACAAAGGGGTCTGCTAAGGGTGGTGAAACCTCGGGCAAAAGGGATGCAATGGGAAATCAACAACCTCAGGTAGATTTTACTCAAGTTCTATTATGTAATCATCTGGCGTGGTAAGATATCTCATGAGCTAACAGGTTTGCTGCTGTGATTTCTGTTTTGAAATTTGGCAGCTTGCTCATCAAGGCTCTTTTAATCAGGCCATGAACTATGGAAACTCGCAGGTAATTTGCATTTTCATATATATGTGATCATGCTCGTCTTCTGTATTGTGAATGTATATTTTATAGGAAAATTTTAGAACAATAATCCAGGACTAAACAAAACTAGAGGGTATCATCCCAAGATGCACCTATCTGGCAGGGAACCTGTTAAACTAGTTATTTATTTTTATTATTTTTCTTCTTTTCCTGTCCTTTGACCCCCTTCTTTCCCATCCTTAATTGATACAATCCCTTGTCAAACTCTTTTGCAATCCCACCCCTTCTCAGGTAACAATCATTTCCTCTCTTGTTTAACCCAGCCAATGATTACTTCCTCTCCTTACTAAATCTATAGGGCACAAAAAAAAGCGCACCTAAGTGTTGAGGCACGAGGTGAATGGGATACCTAAATTGGAGGTGCAGAACTTTATTTTTTATTCCAAAATTTGCTGATATCTATAAAGTGCGCAGGTGAGGCGCACCTAGGCACAGCAGGACCCCATAATGTTAGTGTGCCTTGGGGTTTTTTTTTTCTTTCCTTTTTTGTTTTTAACAATTGGTCCTGTGTCACTCAGCATGGGGACAGTGTCGTGTACCACAAACCAACTTCAGTTGTCTTGGTACACTTACGGTTTGGTGAAGGTGGCAAACACATTTTTAGATTTGAACCCATTTACAGTTAGCCTCTAAATGACTTCTTTCTCAATTTGTATATCTATGCAAAACAAGTGGGACCTATAAGATTAATAATCAAAATATCCGACACTGTTAACACCAACCAAAACCTTCAAAGCTCCAAAATCATTATAATGAATGTTAATTTAACCAAGGGTGAGAATAAAAGCGAGAGAAGGTGATTACATCATACCAATAAAAATGTAGGAGTTTGAGAGATGAGATGTATGACAAAAATTACAAGTTTAATGGAGGCATAGAGGATGAAAAAAGAGTTTTAACAGAGGTGGAATGGACATTTTAATATCAGATGGCAGCAGAGGGAGAAAAGTATGCTCCCAGATGTGTGGTGGTGAAGCTTTGGTGGGAGAGGAGGTTTTGGTATTTGTTGGGGAGGGAGTCCAAGGGGGAGAGAGAAGTTAGGGCCTGAACTTTGTTTTGTTTTGGTTGGCTTGTTTGCTTAAATTATTTATTTATTTTTTTCTTAATTATTTATTTTTAAATGCCAATTACATAATATTACGTGGCCAAGTGATCTGCGAGATCGGTTGATGTATGTAATTGCTTCATTTTGAGAGGAACCTCCCATAGTTGAAATTATACTTAATACATCATAGTTGGAAGCTTGGCACAGATATGGGGAAGAATACCCATAGTTGGGAATTTGGTATTATTGATTCTAGAGGTCAAATTTGCATATGATTCTTTGTCTCTTCCTTTGTGTGTCAGAGATTTTAAAATGTAGTGTAGTGAAAGCTTAGTTTGGGCTTTTGTCTTTGCATTACTCTTGAATAACCTATGTGAAAGTGTAGGATGATTTTTCATCTCTTGTTGTGTGTTGGAAAGTTTAAACTATAGTGCACTGAAAGTTCCATTTGAGCATTTTTCTCTGGGTGTAAGTGAGATTATCCGAATGATTTGGGGTTTGCAAGATTTTTCTCTTACATCATACTTTGTGAAAAATTGAGTAAATCAAGAAAGATTGGATCATTATAACCATTTTGTAAAATTAGTGTATCTGTTGAGAACTTTGTTTTATTTTTCATTCCATTACTGTGACAGTCATGTTGAAAGATGTCCATATGGAGTGGTTATGTGTAATCATTTTTCAGGTATGAGATTTACTTAATTTTTTCTGGTTGAAATGATTCGTCTTGGGCTATGTTTACTTCATCTCATTTGTGTTATTTATTCTTGTTTAAACCAACTTGACCAAGCTAAAACCTTAAAAGGAAGAGCACAAAGTTAAACTGCCTCTTTTCTATATCATCGACCAGACTAAGTCCAAAAATACTGACCAAACCAGACTTGTTGAATTTGTATCTATTTATTTTTCGCTAGATGCAGTTGCTGCAGATTGGTTCATAAGTGTTTTGATAAAGGGGAGGGTAGGTGAGGACAAGGAGTTATCCAAAATTTTGCTTTAAATTAACTGAATTTATCTTTAAATCTTGGACTTTTAAAGTTGCTTTCCATGAATGTTCATATTATTTATTGGCACATTGGCCCAAATGATAATAGGTGTAGTCTTAGTTTTAAAAAACGCGCCTAGGCGCTGTTGAGGCGCAAGGCGACGCGAGGCGCGAGCCAAGACGCCTCGATCTTCCTAGGCGTAGCGCATTCCAGAAGGCGTGCGCCTCAGACCGCCCCCACCAAGGCGTAAGGTACACCGCCTGAGCCGCCTTATGTTTAAAAGCGAGATAAAAGGGGATTCAGATTAATATTTGTAAAAAAAACACAATTTTTTTCCAAATTGAAGCTTACCCAGTCTTTAAAGTGATAATTCGAGCAAAAGCCCCTTGTTAATTGAATAAAATCGCTTCAATTTGACCCCCAATTTAAAAACCCTAATTTTTCGAAAACCCTAATTTACGAATTGCTTTGCAATTGAAGAATTGGTGGGTTCTGTTACGGCTGACATTGCCGGAAATCAGTCCCCGACGGTTTCCGGCAGTAGACCGGCGGCCGGCGCTGGTGAAGCAACCCAGGTAATTTTTTTTTTCCTTCTATTCTCTCTCTTCGACCTCTGCGCTTTTCCATTCTTTCTTTTTCTGCTACTTCTTGATAACGTAAAGATTTTTTTTTCTTTATTATTTTTTCAGTTTTATTTAATTGATAAAATAACAAAAGCCTCCTTTTGACTGTCAATCACGTGACCAGTCTGACCTTCCCTCTTTTTTTTTTTTTTTTTTTTTTTTTTTTTTTTTTTTTTACCAAAAAAATAGTTTTAATTCTTTATTATGCTTGAATCTGAGTATTTATAGAATAATAATTACAATAAAACAGTAAAATTTCTTCAAAAAACCACCAAATAAAATAAAATAATTATCACTTGAATTTGATTTTAAAATAAATTTTTAATTCCAAAAAAGAAGTAAAATAAAAAAAAATTAAAAATTAAAAAGTTTGCGCCTCATATCCAAGAGGCGTGCGCTTTCGCTTTGCGCTTTGTGCCTAGGCTCCAGGGACCCTTTGCGCCTCGGTGCGCCTCGCACTTTTTTAAACTAAGGGTGTAGTTGGAGTGGGCCACAATGGCCACTGATGATCTCAAGCATTACTAAGGAGAATTTTAATGGACAGCTGGAGGTTGTGAAAGGAGTGAAGATTTTCTTACCTGATAATGTGTACTCCGTACTATAGAATATTGTCTAAGTAATCTCTAAGTAGGCTTTTCTTGATAGGGATAAAAAAAGGGAGGGGGTGGGGGGGGGGAGATGAGGGTCTTCTTACTGCTGTTCAATCATAAGAGAATGTTGAAGTTAGCCATAACTATAAATTGCAAATGGGGTTTCAATTAGGCCCTTACTTGAAAGCAACTGACTGGTCAACTACTTCATACAAAATAATTTTTGGAACATATAGTGAACAATTTGTTTTCGATCACTGCAATTTTGAAAATTGCTTAGTTGAGACTTCCAACTTTGTTGTCGTTCATAAAGAGGATCTCATGTCAAATGCCTCTTTAGGCTAAGAATAGTTGCTGTACAATCATTAAGAGATGCGAGCCTTTATGCTGCTGTACAATCATTCAGAGACTGTTTGCCATCATTCTAAATTAGACTTTCAATCACGCCCTTATTAGAAAGCAACTGATTGGGCAACTACTTCAAACAAAATAATTTTTAGAAAGTATAGTGAGCAATTTGGTTTCAGTCATTGCGGTTTTGAAAATTGCTCAGAAGAGACTTTCGACTTTGTTGTTCTTAAACAGGATCTCATGTCAAATGCTTCTTTTGTCTAAGAATAGTTGCTCTTGATGCATGATGAAATGAAATGAGGACTGAGAAAAGAAACCTGGGCTTCTAGTAATGTGTGCACCTACCTTGAATTATCTAGGAGACATTACCCTTAATATGATGCTAAATCATAAATTGGTTTCTGCTATGCAACTGTGATTCACATAACTTCAATTGATAGAAAATGTTGTAAGATTGTCATTGGGGACATGGTATTATGTCATTTATTACGTGATTTCGTTGGAGAATATGCCTTGCAGTTTTCCAAATGTATTGTCTGTTTGAATTATATTTGGAATAAGATGATTTCTCTTTCATCTTTGTGGTTTCTTGCTTCTGGTCGTTGTCATGATCTGTTTTTCCCGATCTTCTTGCAATTAATATTTTTTGAGAGGACTGTTAACCCCTTTGTGATGTGTCCTTGATTAAGAAAGTAAAATGTATTCTGCACATTAATCACCTGGATGGCTTCTCATTGGGCTTGAGATATATGTATTGCAGTATTATGAAATATTTAGGACCGCCAAGATTCTAATAACACAGTGTAACAGTTGGTTGATGCTTCTTTTGGTGTTTCTAGTTTTTGTGAAAAGGTTTTGACCCTACAATAAGTTGTGTAACTATGGTATTTTCAAGTTAGTAGGTTTTGAGGCTTGTTCTGGTTGCTTATAAATTAGCATAATGGTGTTTTTTTTTTTTTGGGTATGTACATCTGTAGGTCAAGTTAATATTAATCTTCCTGAAAGTATGTGTAACTAGTTTCATCTGCTGATCTGCATTTCAACTTCATAATAGGTAAGATTTGCTCTTTAGAAATGATTGATAAGGTTAAGAAATTATTTGTGGTTGCAGGCCCAGCATCTAATGGTTCCTATGCAAGGCCCGGAGTAGGTATTACCTGCAATTCATTGATATTACATATAATTGACGATTTCAGTGACGGGGAGTTTTATTACCTTCCCACTGAAGTCTGAAGTCCATTTCATCAGTGCTATAGGAAAAACTTATATCAAGGATACTTTTCTCATTCTTAGCAATTTAGGTTTTGTAGGGGCTGTTTGTCTCGTTTATCAGGTAAGTCTGATAGTTCTGTATATGAAATTGTGAGCGGTTTGTCACAAGACGTATAAGAGATCCTAATTATATCGACCTTGAGTGATGCATAATTTATTATTAATTTTTTTTATTGATTATATCATTTTTGGTTGGCTCATTTTCTAAGTTTCATCTTATCTAAGCAATAGCTCACCTAAATTTTGATAAAGGTGACTAATGGGATACGCTGGTGTGCTTAACTTACACCCAAGCTTCCATGTTCACCATCAGTAAAATCTCATTGAAATAATTTTGGTGCAAGACTGGTTTTGGTGCTAAGACTGGTTTGAACATGCTTTGGATAATTTGTTTAAAGTGAAATTGCGTTCCTCTCTACTCCTATAGCATATGTATTAGCAAGCCATCAGCAAACATAAAGGTGTGTAATCTCGAGTTTTTGGACATTTGGGACGGCTTTGAAAATCAGGATTATCATGAGTGTTTAAACATCTACTTAAATACTCTAGGCCAATTGAAAAATTAAAAAAAAATAATAAAAAAATATTAAAAGGAGATAGGGGATCTTTATCCTAATATATTGATGCAAATGTTCAAATAATAAAAACTAAAATTTCACTCAAATTAAGTAAGTATTCAATTGGATTTAAATACTTACTATACTACTTAGGGGTGTAAATTAGGGTAAACAGTTGGGATTTGAGTTGGGTTTATTAGTTTCGGGTTATAACGGGTTGAAATAATTTGCGGGTCGGTTTGGAAAATCAGTGGGTCAGTTCAGTTTGGTTTTTTTTAATTGCGGTTTATATTCGGGTTGGGTCCTAATCGGGTCGGGTTATAGTTGGTTCGGGTCATAATCAATTTAGGTTGAACCGGGTCGGTTTGAAAATGGGTTTAGCCTGTTTAAAGTGGGTTTCAGTTTAAAACAGTTTGTGTTCTAATCGGATCGGGTGTAATTAGTTCGGGTCATAATCAGTTTGGGTTAAACCGGGTCGGTTTGAAAATGGGTTTCGGTTCAAAACAAATTGGGTGAAATCGGGGGTCTGGTCATTATCAGTTCAGGTCATAATCGGTTTGGATTGAACTTGGTCAGTTTGAAAACGGGTTTACCCAATTTGAAGCGGGTTTCAGTCCAAATCATATTGCGTTAAAATTGAGTCGGATCATTATCGAGCCGAGTTAGATGTTATAATCAAGTTAAGTCATAAATAAGTTAGGTTTATCGAGTAGTGGGCTGAAACAGATCAGATCATAAACATATTGGGTTACGAGTTGTAAACGACTCAATCATAACGGGTTACCGGTCAAAAACGGTTCGATCTCAATGGGTTACGGGTTGTAAACAGTTCGATTTCAACGGGTTACGGGTTGGAAACGAATCGGTCACAACAGGTTACGGGTTGGACCAATTCAAGTTTATTGGATTTTTGCCTAGGTTAAACGATTTTCGGTTTAAAATGGGTCGGGTTACTATTGAAAGGAATGGTGTCCTTCCAACAAGTGTATTATTCCGATAGAGGGTCCGGAATTATTAGAAAGCTAATTCTTCAGTGAGGTCTGGTGATTGGAATGCCTAGGTGGAGGCCGCTTCCGATTAGTAATATTAATGTACAATTAATATTACGGCTTAATCTTGACTGAACCCTTTGGGTCGCACCCAATCGAACAACCGATTCGAGACGACGAATCAATCCGAAGGATTTAATGAGTCATCAGAGTATTACGAACAAAGACGTCGGATGTCGAGCTTAGAGCGTCGAGACTGAACGTCGAATATCAAGCAAGCGATAAGCTCGAGCTAAGCCATAGCCTTGCATTGGCCTAGCCATGCGAGTGCTAGGCTAGGCGAGGTCACCAACCCATGTGTGTCATGCATGCCTAGCATCGCCTAACACACGCACATCGCATGGCACAAGCATCGCAAGATGCGTGCCATGCGTGTATGTGTTGTGGCTGTGCATGCATGGCTGGAAGTGCTTGCTAGCATAGCAGCACCAGCCATCGCAACATGCTGGGAATGGCTAAGCACAACCCGCAAGCATCGCAAGGCCAGCAGCACACAAGTGCTTGCTAGGCCTCGCTACTGCAAGCACGCAGCACATAGTACACGCACCGCAGCACGCTATGTGTGCTTGTGCTATGGGCTATGCGTGCTGGGCATCGCATAGCAGCAGTGCTCTCGCTAGCATGAGCATTACAGCAGCGTGCTAGGCATGCTGGGCTGTGCGTGCGTGCTAGCATAGCAACACCAAGCACCACGCCACTCGCACAACAACACGCACCAAGCAGCAGCAGCAGCATCGCATGCGTGTGTGCTGGCTGGCTGTGTGCTGGCTAGTTGCGCATGTGCTGTGTGTTGGCTGGCTGGGCTGCCCAGCCTTGGTGCTAGGCACCAGCTGGCAGCCTTGGCAGCCAAGTGGCTTGGTGATGCCGGTTATTGTGTGGGGACCGATTTCAAGGGCTTGCTTGGTGAGCAAGGGGATTTGGTCCCCCCCCCCCTTGAATGGTCCTCACCTACTCTCTCCCTCCATGTGACACTTGGAGCTTGTTGATTGCTTTGCATTATGATTGAAGAAAAATGCAATTCTCCAACACTGATGGGAGAAGGGAGATCAAGGCTCCCTTCCCTATAAATACCCAAGTTCTGGGTTTGGGAAAAACCACTTGAGTTGAACTAAAAAGGCATCTCCTTGAAAAGTGAGAAAACCTTAAGTTCGTAATACTCTAGTTTTATTTGGTCAAGTCCTGACTAACCTTCGGGATAAAGACCGCTCGGGTCGAGTTCGAGGGTACGAGCCGTAGGAGACCGTCGGACTTGCGAGGTTAAGCTTTCAAGTAAGAGCTCGGGATCAAGTGAAGCACGCATCGAGGGTAAGAACGTCTTTTCACTTTCTCTCTCATTTGTTGTTTAATTATGTGATTGCATGATTAGTTGCCTTAATTAGTGGGTTAGTCTTGGGCGGGTTTCTCTTCCACGTAGAGTCAGACTCTACGAAACCCAACAGCGGTATCGGAGCCGCGCTCACTTTAATTTTTGTAACTAATAATTCATTAAGGTGATTTAAATGGATTTAAATTTCTGGTTTTGCTTACTAATTAGATTAAATTAGAAGCTCGTTTTAATTAGTTTTAATCTCGTATTTATACTAATTTTGGCCTACCAACCCAGATTTCGACTCAAAATAGTGATTTTTGGGTGGAATCGATGTTCTACATCGTTTTTAATTCTCTTCGAGAGCTGTTTAGAAGCCAAAATCCAGCCAGAAACATGTTTTTCGAGAGGTTTTTTCATTTTTGACGAAAAATTTTAAATCTTTAAACCTTGATTAATTATGACATGTTAAAGGTAGATTAAATGTATGAATGCATTACTAATCTACTACAATTATAAACCTTATTAAGCATGTTTATGAAGTCGTAATTGGTGCTTAATTTGGTGAGTACATTTTTCACATAAATTTGAAATTTTCACATTTTTGCAAATAAATTGCTTCAGGTGTGAATGTTTATGGTGAACTTATGATTTTTGAAGTCCTTAATATTTTAAATATCCAATCTTTAATTGTTTATTTGGTTGGAACTTTGCTTGCTAAATTCCATGTTGAACTAATTTTTGGATTTAATCATTTTGGTTTATTAAAGTCCTAAAAGTTCAAAACTTGTTATTGAAATTTAATTAATCTCCATATTGGAAGATGTAATTTTTTCAATCACACAAGTTAATGTTGGAAACTTTCATTGGATGAAAAGGTTTATTTTTCCAACCCCTTTAATTTTTTCAAATCTCATTATTAATTCATGTTTGGTTTAATTAATTATGAGTATAGCCTTCAATTTTATAGCATCAAGATGAACCTAAATTAATTTAAAGAAAGGTTCTTGAATTAATATTGGTTTGTGCACTAAAATTGAATTTATTTAAGTTAAACTTGTTATATTTTCATTCTTGCTCAATGTTGATTCTAAAATTAATTTAGAATCAATTTTATGTCACACATATATCGGGATTAAAATCCTGAGTGAAAGCACGCAAATCGAGGCAAGCATCGCCCAAGAACCACCTACGGCTAGCCGGCGCAGCCCGCATGTGGTTGCCGAGGTGCACAAGCGGCTGCTCATGCCTCGAAGTGCTACAAGTGTGTGGCGTGTTGGGCTAGGTGCACACTATGTGGCCCACACGTATAGTGCGGTGTGTGTGTGTGCTTGGTGTATCGAGGATGCTCACGTGATGCTCGCATGGTGCTACGATAAGGGTTCCTTGGTGTTGCAATGTGTTACTAGGCAACATAAGCTCGCATGATTTAGGACCTTTGAGGCCATGTCTTGTGTGTGTGCAAGTGCTCTGATGTGGCCGGTGTAACGCGTATGCGACATTGAGATCACTCCCACGTGCTTGGGCCACAAGCATTTGTGCGGGTGCGGCCACGCAAGGCATCCCGAGTCTTGAATCTAAGCATTTGGGCGTCGTAAAGTACCTTTAGGCTATGTGTTTTTCTAATTTTCGCCGTTTTAATTATTTATTTTAACGAGGCTAGGCCTCGAATCCTCCGACACTTGCAAATTAATTTTTGACAAATTTTGGGTTGACTGGCTTAATTAATTGGATTAATTAAGTTAGATGCGGATTTTAGTGGGAGCTTCTTTAATTACTAGAACTAATTGCGTCTTAAGGAGAAGTTGAGTGGGCCAAATTTTCTTACGCTCAATTCTTGCAAATAACTCAAACAACCAATTTTTATTACGCTCAATTCTCGACAAGGAGAAGTTGAGTGGGCCAAATTTTCTTGATTGACAAAGAAACTTGCGTATTGTTATCATGCAAGAGCAAAAGGAATACGTCGTTGATGAGGAAATGCCCGACGCTCCCAGTGAGGAGGTCACTCAGGCTGCCCTAAACCGATGGCAAACTGCCAATCGGGATGTCAAATGCATCATGTTGGCCACTATGTCTCCGGACCTCCAAACGATTTTCTTTGAAAAGGAGACGGCTTATGAGATCATTTCCGAACTTCAGAATATGTTCCAAGAGCAGGCCCAAACTAAAAGGTTCGAAACCCATAGGCAGATCCTTGAGAGCAAGCTCAAGAAAGGAGAGCAAGTCAACCTGCATGTACTTAAAATGATTGGGTTATTTGAGAACATGGAAAGGCTTGATGTTGG